TACTCCGAGTTAACCGGAGTATACAAAATCCACTGAACCGCCAGCACAGGCTCAGTTCATGAAGAATGTTTGGGTCGACGAAGGATAAATTGAAATCGATGGTACACCTATCAGGGGGACTTCGTCCTACGTTTATCTCGGGCGTACCATGAGTATGACCAAGGACATGAGGGAAGAACTAGTGAGATGGGAGAAAGCAGCGTGGGCAGCTCGGACCTCTCAAAGAGGTCACTAACGGTCTATCTGACCCGGGGCTATGCGCTGATCTGTTCGGTTCTACCGTTCTTCCTGCGGGTCGGAGACTTGGGTGACCAGTGCATCCACATCAAGGGCTTTGAGCACAAGTTACAGAGCTCTGGAGCGACGTCTTTTGAGGTTCAATCGCCCCACGCATTATCGAGCACGCAGAATGACCCGACTCCGCGATCCGGTGGAATACGAACGCAAAATTTCGGTGGACCGGTTATATAATGAGAAGAGATGGTGACAAAAGGACAAGAAGAACAGTCATAAGGTTTTCCGTAGGATCTTCACGATCTAAGGGTAGGCCTGCTGCGAGATGGGGAGATGTGCTTGTTGATCACGTGAAACAGCTGCGACCGCAGTGAACGACTAATCACATCGCTATTTTCGTCGAATTCTGAGTCTAAAGTGATGGCGATCGTGAAAGACAGAGGCGAATGATTTTTTTTTTGCTGGTGCTCGCACATGAGTGAAGTCGAGCTGTATAAGTAATAAGTAAGTGTCATCGATACTATGCCAAGATTGAGTGATAGCCGAACATGGTTGCTTTCCTAGTTAACGTAGTTAGCCTCTTTCAGTCCGTGGAGGACGAAACTTTTGATAAATAACCAAGTTTGCGGAAGCGTGGACGGAAGTACTTCCACTTTGTGAAATGCTTACCAACAATATGTCGGTGATCCGAAAGGCTGAAAGAATGGTATTTCTTACATACACGTCTTTCAGGTGATGCTGGCTTCCGCTTCTAAGACTTCTCCCATCTCTCCCAAACTCTCTCTTCCTCTCCAAAAGATCATACAGCCAGTAAAGAACTCCGTCGTCGGTAGGTGCTTCATCGTAAAAATCGAGCTGCCTATCTTCCTATAGTTTGGAGTGGCGTGTAGATGTTATGAGCGGTGTGAGTGAAGATGGTAGCTCTAAAATATGAAAGTAGTGAACCCCATATTTCCAAGAAACTCGTTTCTCACTTTCGCAGACAAAATTGGCCGTAACTCCGGAATATAATCGGACGTAAATATACTGTAGTTCTGCGGCCTACGCAATTGCACAGCATTGCTAGGGCGGGAAAATTTGATGCTCCTCCACGGGCTGGTCATTTTCACATTCCCATTCTTTTCTGTATGGCTCGGTTGTGCGCCTTTTCGTCATAACTGAGTCCTTATTATAGATTCAACGTATGTTGCACCTATTTAATTCAGCAGAAAGTCCGAGTATCCAGATTTTTTGCGATACGATGGATGTCCTGTCTCAGCGAAACGAAAATGTCGGCTCAGGCGATGCAGTTACCGAAACAAAGAGGCCTAGGCTTGATGCTGATGACCAGGTACAAGTTCTCAGATTAATTTCATACTTGCTCTTTTAATGTTCATGTTCTTCAGCTGCTCACCATCCGTTTTGTAAAACTGAGTCCTGATGCTCAAGCACCGGTTTATGGTTCTGCTGCTGCAGCTGGAGCAGATCTTTTCAGTGCAGAGGATTGTGTTGTACCGGCGCATGGTAAGTTTAATGAGTTTGCTCTGTAAGATTAACTCGCTGTAAGGCTCTGTAAGTACTGATTTTAACAGTAAAAATGAGTTGAGTAAGCGTGATACACGACATGATTGAAATCCTTTTTCATTGGTTACAAATTGAATCTCTTTTCTGTATATCGCTCAAGTATATCGGAAAGGAACAGCGCCATCAGCACGATGCCGGTAATGTTGGGAATAAGCGAGACCCTTTGCGTTTGAACACACCTTCCTTGAAGGTGTTCTCTTCACTATTACAGGAACTGCACTGGGCTTTTTCCGAATTCCACCTTCCCTAAGAGAAATATGTTAAATTTTGGCTGAGGGGCGGTTTCCTTGTTAGTTTTTCAAGCTCGTTCCCCCAAATTGAATTATTTTGTTGAGTTTGGTCGAGCAATTGTGTAGTAAGTGTATTTTGAAAATTTCTCCAAGCCAAGTTCTGTAAATAAACGGACAGTGAATAAGACATAAATGGTCAGTTTCATAAATTTGCTTAAATGATTTTTGTAACATAGACAAACTGACATGTTAACGATTCAGGCTGTTCGAAGCCTCCACTATATGGCATGGTCAGCTTATCGTTTCATTTCATAACAAAGGAACCTAAGTGCATAATTTTTGATTGCCCTCGTCAACAACAGTCATTCCCTATTATAGCTCTCTTTCCTGTTAAGTGATTCAACAAAGATTTGTTGCGAAGCTCATGGTAACCCTCTTGACGGGTATAGAGCTGTACGAGCAGGAAAATAACTGAATAGCTTGTTTTTAGTGAAGATTGGCAAGTTTCAAACTTTTGTCGGCAATGAGGTAACCGTCCGATTTATGAAGTTGGTGGAATCCCCCTATTCTCCGAGAATTATACTCACCCTCTTTTCAAAAACAGTCACTACGACTCCATCATCACCATTTCAAGAGCTCAGACCTTTTCAAAAATGAGCCACGCTATCCATTCAGGTGCCACCACCGAGGCGAGAAACCAGTGGAGTAAGATTGTTTCGCCTGTACATTCTCAGTTAAGCTCTTTTTCAGGTAAGTTCTGCGTCTCGACCGGTCTGCAGGTTGAGCTTCCATTCGGCTATTACGGACGTGTTGCGCCACGATCCGGTTTAGCGGCTAAAAATTTCATCGATGTCGGTGCTGGCGTTGTAGACAGTGACTACCGAGGAGAGCTGAAAGTTTTGCTTTTCAATTTCGGACCATCCGACTTTGAGGTACGCGGCAGGCTGAGCTGTTTATGTTCATTTGCTTTATCGCCTTAAGTAATTGATTCAGGTAAAAAAGGGAGACCGAATTGCTCAGTTTATTTGTGAGCGTATTGCTCACTGCAAGTACGAGGAATGTACCACTTTGACTGACACCGTCCGAGGTGAAGGTGGATTTGGTTCCACTGGAAAGTAATGCCTGTTCTCCTCGGCCTTTGATAACATTGCACCGGTTTGGGTTCCCGTGATTTCTTTTTGGTTTTGGTCTNTCTAACTGTATCTCGTTGAATATGTTTGTAAAGTTTGCTAATTTTGCAAGTCTAGCAATGTTCAGTTTTTAAGTTTTTTAACGATCTGTCTACCTCATTAAACAATTTATTTTTGCTGTACAATTCATGGTGCGGAGCACGAATTTCTTGCAGATAATCTGTATTCTCTACTTTTCATATCAGGAGATCGGGACATGTTGAAGCCTTCTGTTGGTTTTGGTTTTCTGGATGAGATCTTACAATTGCGAGGGATGAGTGATAGCAGTGATAGGAAAAGGGAAGTGGGGCATTTTAAATGACTTTGGGTGATGCATTGTAGGTCAGTCATTGGTATCAATCAACGCGAGTACTAGTTGGACCTCTTTTGTTCTTTTTCATCAAAAAAATAGATAAACACTAGTGAACAGAAGAATTGTGAACACTGATAGGCGAAAATGAAGAGAAGAGCTTATAAATTCATAATATATGGAATATCGCATTCACCAAACAATCTATCGAACTCATGCCTTGGTGTCCGGCCGCATAAATGTGTTCGAGGTAAATGCTATCAAATTCGTTATCAACGAGTAAATTGTTGAAGAAGATCATTCATGATGCATCTCTTCATTAAAAAATTCAACCCTTTTTACTTTTCAACATCTCTCGGCATATGGTGCCTGCTACACCGAGCCCCTTTCATTGATTCTGTGACATAAATAAAGTTAATGGGCGTGTTGTTTATGGATTTGTTTACCTCCGACAACGGAGCAGATCATACTCTACTTTGAGGGTAAGAGGAGACACTTGACTTCTGGTCGACTTGCAAATCAGAATAGCATAGGTAAAGGTATCCGGCCTCCTCATTGCCTTTGTTATCATACCACTTGGCTAAATTATTGCTATTTTGTCTTTCTCTTCGTCCTTTCACCGATTACCGTTGTCCCATCCTGTTCATTCATGAGCTCCTACTATTTCTAAAGTAACCCTTTAATTTGTTCTTGTTTCTTCTTCGCTATTGATAGAAAATTAATACCAAAGTTTGCATTGCGAAAATTGTCGCAAAAATACCTATGGGCAAAACGATCAGTCAATCAAGCCGCCCATGAAGTGCCATGGATGTAGCGAGAGAGTGTGCTGCTGTGCTCCGCTTCTCCTTCCCTTCTGTGCTGGCGGTTCAGTGGATTTTATATACTTCGGTTAATTCGGAGTAGAATAAAACAAGTAAATAGTGAGCGCGGACGTTACCGCTAGTAAAGAACAGAAGAATAGCAAACAAGTCTTCATTTAATTGTAAGTACAAAACCTACGTCTCGCCTTTGACGTTGTTCAAGGTAGAATGAGGGACCCACTTTTTCCGGGGCCGCTTGACCCCGCACCTTTTAGGTGAGTTAAGCTCGAGTTAGTCGTCTCAGACAGTGAAACGACGAGATAGTCTTGGTGAGGTGATCGTCGCCTTGAATGACGATACCTTCCCTTCATCACGAAAGGGCTAAAACTGGGCAGTGGGTTTCTAATAGCTGACACGCGTCATTGACAACTTCTCCTTTCAAGAGTACTTTACTTCTTTCCTGTCGGGACCTTCGAGATAACGAAAATGGGACCGACGCGAGGCGTCGCTCGATTGTTCAGATAGCCAAAAGCGACAGATTTTGAATGGCTCTCTTGAGCCGTGTACTGAAACATGTCGTATTCATGTTACGGTATTTCAGTGAAAGACCCATGATTTGCGTTATCCTAGTCAGTAAGCCAGGAGAGGGGAAGAAATAGCTGGACTGTTGACGGAATGCAGATGACAATCGAGGCAAGAGGGCTCTTTTGAGTGGTCCATCTGAGCTGCCCTTAGTCATTATCCATTCAGTTATGAGAACGTAGAAAATCCGATTTGATGCTGACTAGGTGGAGAAGAGCGCATGGCATCGCCTCTGGAGAATTGCGTGGACGAGGGTAGAAGGGCGTCGGCTATTTTGTTGTTTACCTACGCTCAATCATTCATCCTTTGACGACAATCCCATGCTCCCCTCTTTTCGCGCGCGACTGGCACCCATTGGTGGGTGACACTGTCCTAAGAGGAAATTCTTTCACTGACTTACTGAATTTAGCAATTGGTCAGAAACAAGAAAATATGCCGGCACCCAAAATTGAGTGCCAATGTTCCATGCGCTAGTCGTTGTGGCACGCATCGGTGGGTGCCATTGTCGTCAAAGGGGTAATGTGGGCATGAAAATTATAACGTTCATACTTTTCGTACCATCAAGTCGACAGCGTGGGGTGAAACTGCAGGAAAAATCGAAATTTCCATATTTATACAGGAGTGGCTGGTGGGATTCTGGCGAGAAAGGTTGTGAAAGTTAGGTTTAACTGTGCTGGAAACATTTTTCGAAGGCCAAGTTCACGAAGGTTCTTTTTCGACATCGCTGCTACTCGGATGCAATATTTTAACCCACAGGCAAGTACGTATGAAATAGTAGCTGGAAAACTGTTGCCGAACAGACACATACAGACGCACATACACATACACACACTACAGAGCAGTTCACTGGAGTTGTTGTCACTCCCTCTTGGAAATTCAATCAAATATAACGAGCAGACGATAAAATTTAATGAAGCGTGATTAACTGGGACTTGATTATGTATGTAGTATAGCAAACACAATTAACGAGGCTCTGAAAACTTTGGTGTTTTATTGTCGTTGTTCATGTTAACGTTGGTAGTATCCCATTGAATGGGCTGAACATCGAGGTTCATCTTCGACGTTTTCGTTTCGGGCTTGGTACTTGGCAGAAATCCTTAGGAGGAGCTTCACGCCCTTATACAGCAGCTAAAACTAGAGGATTCCTAACTACTGCGAAATTTCGACAGTGACTTCTCGAATAATCTGATATTTCTGTTTGGGTGGCTTGACAATGACCGTGAGAAAATGTTCAGGGTTCAATCAAACACTTTTTCCCTATACTCGGGGTCGGAAAGAAACATGATATCGAACATTTCTTTTCACAAATATCACGCAGAAAGAAAACCGAGAGAGATTCCGTAATTATGTTGACGTAAAGGTGAAAGACCACCAACAGCGTAAAGGTTGTCAGGCAAACTGCTTTGAATACTTTGCAATCAGTGAATAAGAACTTGAAAAAGATCAGTGAGTAACTCATAAAAAACTGTGAGTAAGCGATAATGGATTCGCAGCCAATGAGAACCTTACTACACTACTCCTCGTAACTCCTTCCAGTAGTATCCATGGAATTTTTGAGTACTTGATTCTTTAATTATTTGCATTTGTTATTTATTTATTTCTTTGTAGTTGTGTGCTGTTAAGGGAATACTAGGAGTGGAGGTGATGTAGTGGCAAGTGGCCTCTATCTCATACGCGTGGTCACCGGTTCGAAGCCCGGATCGATATCCACCTTGGGGAACCAGGCCTTCTATTCCCGGTTTATTAGTACCAGACTCGTCTGGGAGGATAAAGCGCTGAGTTGTACATAGACTGACCACCGCAAGCATTGAACAGGCCACGTACGCTCTCAACACACCACCACGACTATGAATTGAAGTCGAATGCAGGGCGCCTCCCTCACACGGGATTAATTGACGCCAAAAATCTTTGACTATTACTTGAGGGAATGTTGAAAAAAGGCATTAGAAAAAGAAAAAAAATTTGATAGAAATAATTCCGATATCAAACAAACGAAAGCATCGATGATAACATCATGAACAAGGGAAGCAAATGCGGCACCTGTGCTTGGAGAAGTTCTTTATGTTCTCTTCCACGGCAGATATATCAATCGGAAAAAGTAATAAGAATTAAAAGACAAACTTTAAGATTTTTTTTCTGACGGCTACTTCTGAAAGTATTCTTTCTTTTATATTTTCTCCTTGAAGGAAACAGGTACTTTCGTTCTTTTGCCTACGATCTGTCATTTACTTAAGTTTGCCAAAAGTAGGCATAACCTTACTACGTCAGATTCATTTTCGCCTTTATTACGT